CAAAATTATCAAAAAGCAATTACTCAACTAAAATCAAGATTCGCAAGAGATGACCTTATGGTCGTAATCTATATTCGAGAATTGTTAAGATTAGTGTTGGCACAGGCCACAAAAAAAGGTCTCATGCCATTGGCGACATTGTATGATAAATTGGAAACACAGTTACGAGCTCTGGAATCGCTTGGTGTTAAAAGTGACATTTATGCCGCAATGCTTTACCCATTAGTAGAATCAGCTCTTCCAGAGGATCTTTTGAAGGCTTGGTAGAGATCTCGATCATCCGGAGAAACAAATGCCAGCACACAAAATCTTACAAAATTATTGAAATTTCTCAGAATTGAAGTTGAAAGTGAGGAACGCCTACAAATAGCTCGTAATGGATTCGGTAGCCAAGGAAGTTTTGATGTAGTTCCACCAACTGCCGCTTGTATATATTCTGGTGATTCAAGGAATAACACGAGTGATTTCAAAAAGTTTAAATGTATATGGTGTGACAAGGATTCACATAGATCAATGGAATGTTTCAAGTTACACAAATTAAATTATAACTATAAAAAGACTGTTTTAAAAGAAAAAAGAGCATGTTTCCGTTGTTTGAAAATCGGCCATCCAGCACAACAATGCAAAAGTTCTGTTAAATGTTTAATTTGTAATAGAAGACATTTGACAGTAATGTGTTGGAACATAAAAAATGGTGAAAACCAAGGTCAAACAAAGTCAAGTACTAAAGGAAAAAATGATGAAAATAGCAGTAGTTCTAAAACTCTTGTTAATCAACAAAAGGGTGAAACGTTGATGCAAACACTGATAGTAAAAGTTGAGGGCATAGATAAAACAGATAGACTCGCAAGAGTTTTGATTGATTCCGGTTCCCAAAGATCCTATATAAAAACAGAGGGCATAAAAAAGCTAAATTTGCCAATAGTTGGAGAAGAAACTTTAAAGTATGCAGTGTTTGGCGGAATAGAAACTGGTCAGTAAAAACACAGTGTCTATGATGTCAATATAAAATCCCTAGGTGGTCAATTCAAAGTTACATGTCCAATGTTAGCGCAGACAAAGATATGCAATTTCGTACCGAGATTAAAGAATCAAAACATTTATCCCATTCTACAGCAAAAATCAATTAACTTGTCAGACGTTGGGGACAATCCTCTAGAAATTAAAGTGTTATTAGGTGCAGATGTATTGCCTCAAATTCTCACGGGTAAAATTAAAAATTTGGATGAAAATATTATGGCGATTGAAACTCGGCTTGGGTGGACAATAATGGGTCAACAACATAGAGAAGAAAAAACAAACACTATTTTAAGCTTATTCTGCCAACCCAGCATTGAAGACCTTTGGACCTTGGAGACTATTGGAATACGAGATTCAGCCGAAAATAAAACAACAAAAAGAATGAAGAAATTTTAGAATTTTTTT